CTGAAAACCAGGTGATCCCCAAAATACTCCAGTACCCCGGGGATAAATAATGACTGTATCCTTAGGGTCAGTGCATTGCCTCTCGCATAGTGTGGTTTGCTCAACTTTCCCCTATTAAAGCCCGTAGTCAGAAAAGCTGGTGTGTAAAACTACCCGTTTATTTTCCGCTGTAGATTCTCGGTTTGGCACCCTTTTAATAACGGATGTAAGACATGTTGAGAAAACTACCATTGGGGAATCTCAGAGCTTTCTCAGCGTATGGGTTGGTTCATTTTTGTTAGATTACTTTTTACCTATGAACCTTGTAGGAGACTGGGCTAGGTATTACGGTATATTTCTGTCTTAAATTGGCTTTTCCCATTTGAATCTGTGAAAACATCAATATTGCAGCCATACCTAACTTATCCTTTGTAAATAAATTTTATGATCTCTTGATGCAATTAATATCATAGTCAATCAGTATTACACAAGTCAGGATAGAATTAGTAGACCTTGGGGTACAACTCTCGGTGAATAATGGAGTAGTTTCTTTTTTTAAGAAAGTAAAAGAGTAGAACAAAGTCCTGCCGAGATTTCGGGTCCGAAAAAGGTTTACTTTATTAAATTAATGGTGAGCGTGATTTGAAAAAAGGTGTACGTTGATATTATACCGTGTGCGGACGGAATTCTTTGTAATTACGAAAGACATTGGGGTATGTCAATTCTTTGGAGGATATCAGTAACATAGGCGGGTTCCTGTGATATTGACTCGATCATCTTGAGTGACTTTCTTAGTCATGGTAATTATATATGGAGTTATTCAAAAAGAAAAAAATGAAACCACAAAGTGAACGTTAAACCCGAGATCGATGATTTGGACAAATTTTTTAAACACTCGATAAATTGTGCTATAACTTCCTCAGGTTATAGGGATCAGACCGTAAATGAGGGAATTTGTTTGAACTTTTAGTTCCGGCTTTAGGATTTGCGCTTTTGAGTATCTTTTCAAATTCAAAGAGTTTGTTGTTAACGAATAGCTCATAAGCATTGGAAATATCAGTCAAGGCCCGATAGGATATAGAGGGACCATGGCCTGAAAGATCCCTGCATTGATCAATCGGTCAAGTTTCGAATTGTGCTTGGTTGTCTCATTGCAAAGAACAATTAGCGACGTGTGAATTAGCTTTCAATGCTCCGGAAACCACCAATTATTAGTTTAGCAATATAAGCCAAAAAGGATCGCGTTTTACTAATGACCAATGCAGAAAATTGACACGGTTTTCGAAAGTCAGAAAAATCTAATTCTAGATTAATTAAATCATTCAAGATAAATAACTCGAGAAGGAGCTATGTACATGATCAATTTCCCGAATTTTGAGCTTCTGCCCGACAAATATAAGTTTCAAAGTGTACAAGATTAAAAGACTGTATGAGATTATCTAGAGATTATATCCTACAACTGTCAACAAACCTCCACTTTTCGAGCGAAAGAAACTCCTTTAGTTGAAATACCGTTTGGTGCTGCTTCAGCTTTAAAAACCGCAGTGAAAAAACATCCACTTTCAGTAACGTCAGACGTTTGCACCTCTGGTCAAATTACCGACAATGCGTCGAAAATTCCGCCCTTTTCTAGAGTTTTCTTTTGTCTGTTCGATAAAAAATAAATTAACAAAATAGATTGCCAACAAATATTACGGCTAAGAATTTAAAACCACATACTGATGACGTTTAGGTTTTTAATATCTCTACATTCGCCATCTGTAGGTTACCTATCTTTCAATCAGCTTAAGTTTAGGGATGAATGTGTAACATTCGCTGGTTTTCTGAGGAAGGATCACCATGTTTTCTGCCCATTATTCCTAAATCTTTCAAGATTATTGTATTTATATTACTGCTGTAAGCTCTACATTTGCGTTGCTATGCTGTGTGTCTCGAGGACCATTCACTTTGCCTTCGACGAGTAATTGTGAGTTTTATAATCTTATGATAATTGGCCTATATCATAAGTAGAGATCCAAGTTCAAACTATTTTTCATTTCTACTCAATAGCTAATATAACAGATCTTAGCAAAACGTTATTTACCGACTTTTTTGGTACAAATCAGTCGCTTAAATTTTGAAAAGATTAGTGGGACCAGAAACTCAGCCGTAGATTTTCTTGAGGTCTACAGCACGAGCTCGTTCAGTAATTCCTATCAATTTCTTGCTAATTTTAGTAAATTGATTATAAGAACTATGAGAGAACTTTCAAAATTAGAGGGATATTGGGGATGAGGGAGGAAAAGTTTTTAACCAAAAGAATTCTTAAAATCTAATTAAATGATAATGAGAATCATGATGTTGAAAATTCCATTAACACTGCTTGTCATGAACCTAATATATGTATAAATGACTGTGAGTATATGAAAATCATTTATTCATCACTTCACGGGTTTATTAGGAACCATGATGATGACCAGCTTCCAGTTGGCTTGTTAACTCAGTTGGTAGAGCACTGCACCGGTGTTGCAAAGGTTATGGGTGCCAATCCCGAACAGGATTTTTTTCCAGGTCTCATTTTCACTACTGCTTAAACAGTGTTCATTATTGCGAAGATCGCTTTTATATTTATAACCGTAAATGGATGTCAAAGGGCGTAGGTTATTTGATCATAAAACAGATCACTGGTTTGCTTGATAATAAAGCTCGCAACTTTTTAACTTAATGTTACCTAAACGGCTAAGATAGAAATTCATCCTGAAATGTTTTTTGTAAGAAATTGTGCAGCTTGAATTTATGCGTGTTTTCAATGCACTGGAGTCTATGTCTATGATATATTGGTGCTGTTATTATACTATATTGATCCGTGTGTTTTTACGATGACTAGACAGTTATTCGCTGTTATCTCCCACTCATCAAAACGTCTTTTTTCCTTGGTAACATCACGGTACATAAAGCGAACCCAGCAGATGGAGTGATCATGAGATTGAAATTATCTTTGTAAGCAACTTTTTATCGGCTAAAAATAGTTGTTTCAACAAAACTAAAACTCTGGCAAAACTTTGAGTATCATTAACATTTAAGCCGGACAAAGACAGAACATAGAGATACGGAGAAGGAATAAAATAATAGAACATTCTTCTTGGAGCATAGAATGAGTTTTTGCAAATTTTTTCAAACTTCCATCCTGTTTGCATTCAATCGGCGTATGAATGACAACTCAAAATGTTAAGCTAAGCACTCTCTTTATTTCAGCCCGTAATATAAGCGGATACAATATGTTAAATATTCAAAAAAACCCGTTGATAATCTTAGCAATGACAACAAAAGAGGCACACTCAGATGATTAATATTCGCCTCAAGTAATAGCACAACTCGGACATCAATACATTTTTAAAGCTCTTTTTTTTTTCTGTGGGTTATGTAGTAAAACTCTACGAAAAAGCTACCTAAGTGATGATGGCAAACACTGACAAGCAAGCCTACCCTATTTTCATCGTCTGACCATCAGTCTGATTAAGAAAAGCACACGCACAACCAAAATACATCGGGCTGCAACACACCATGCCTTTTGCTCTAAAGCAGAATTGTAGCTTTGAGAGGAGCATCTAAATTGTGTGTACAACTGGAAAAGAAAAAAGTGAAAAATGTAACCCACTAGTAGCCACAAGTGCAAGTTATATTACCAATGGGAAACAAGCAATCAGTATTCCCCGTGGGTCTCCAATACGATGAGAAGACCTAGAATGCTCGTAATTTAAGGAAGGATGAAGGAGTAGATTTTTGCATCACTGGGGGTATCCCAGAAGAAACACTAAATAGTTAATTGTCGATGTACCTGCTCTAGATTTCTTCGGAAGGCATTAAACAAACCTGTCGTGCTGTTTTTGTAGTCTCAATCAATAAGAAAAAACATTGCTATGAGATTGCTTAGATTTTTAATTGATACCTTTTGGGGCCAAAAAAACCTGATGCACTAGCTATATCCAGATCAGTCCCCTTTTTGGAGGTGAAATTAACATTTTCCCACGAGCATTCCAGTCCTTAATATACATGGAAGATGAGAGAGACCCTCAGGAATCACTCCATTCTTCGTATCAAGCTCTCTCCGAAGTAACGGCATCAGGAGCACGCGGTTTCATAATGATCGGCTTGTACCCCATCTCGTTCAGTTCGTCATCCTGAACGAAACCCAAGTTGTTGTTGTTGTCTTCCTTGACGTGATTGCCACACTGTTCCATGGCGTAGACTTTGTTGCGATCTGCGAAGGCTCCTTTGAGACGCTTCTTGATTCGAATGACGACGATAGTGAGAATGATAACAAGAAGAAGGCAAAATCCGCCGGATGCCGCCACTACTGTGATGATCTCCATGTTGGTTTGAATTTCAGCTAAAAGGATGAAAACAAATTGAAAGCGATTCGGCTCAGGTACAGTAACTTTACGGTTACTTCAGTAAATTATGTAAGGATCTAGTACATTCAGTTGACGTTTGTTTGGTGTTTGGTAACTTGTATTGGGAAAGTTTGGCAATTCTTTCGTGCTGATTCTATGGTCAATCTACGATGAACTATCATAAAGAGTCAAGTAGGAGTTTGGAATATCTATCGGGTATCTACCCTTTCCACATAAGTATTGAGTAAATCGTTACCCACAACTCTCCACTGCCCACTCACCTTCTGTCGTGTCCGTTGCACTCGCCCCGTTCTGGTATTTGATTGGTCCTGACGACATTTCGTAAACTTGAGTACTCTCAGAACCAGGCACCTCGTCTCTCCGTCCTCGATAGCGGGAGCATCCCTGGAGGCAGCGAGACCGGGCAGTGTTGCGGTGGCAAGCCAGGACTTCACAGTGAAGATGCACTACAGGATGGTCTTCAATAAAACGAAACGCTTGGATGCTAAAACGCTGTTTGGAGCTGATGGAGTACGAATAATTGAGGGTAGAATCCAGCTTACATCTGCAGCCAAGCAAAGAGAATTATAATTATGAATTTGTAGATGAGCTAATACGAAAACCACCAGGAAATAAAAAATTAGCACCACGAAAAACTGACTCGAACAAAAATAAAACAAAGTTTAAAAAATTTTTTTAGTGGCTTGATTCACGGCTTATTATTATCGACTCAAATATTCGCCATCAGTTTGCGCGTTTTTGCTCCGTAAAATGGATTTCACAAAAATTTGATTCTATTTTGTACCCTGGTTACCACCGGAATTAGTCTTGGCGTAATCAAAAACGTTCGTTGAGGGAGAAACTGCATAAACCTCAAATTTTTATAGGAAATATTTTTCAGGAATCGTTGTACAGAGCAAGACATATTTACCCTCTCTGTAAGAAGACATACTGAGGAACTGAGTACGGATCAGGAGTGGGAGTCGCCTTGCAGGTGTCGACAAAGAGAACCAGGTTAGATTGGTGTGACTGTACCGTCAACTGAAGAAATAACTGATCCCGAAGATGAACCGTGATTGGATAGTCATTGTAACTGAACGGTGTAAGATATCTGCCCGTCTTGAATAGATCCATAGTGAAGGTGAAGTTGCCATATCCACCTATGAAAAGAAAGTAAAATTGCCGGCTGTTCTTTAAGATCTGTAAACGTTATGGATCACCCAGCCTGGTGGTTGTTGGGAACAATGAAAGTATCGACAGAAAATCAAATTGAACTTGAGCAAAAACGAAAGGCTCATTAAGTTCTGGAAAGCAATAAAGGTCGTAAAATCGCACCAGTGTCAGGTAACAGCTAAAGGAGTACCATCGATTTGGCAAGGAGACGAGCTGAAGGGTTTTTTTTTTTTTTCAAAAAAGGTTTATTCAATGAATGTTTCCCTTGAAGGATATAAATTCATTGAACTGTACAATGACTCTTGTAGTAATGAAGTCAATGTTATATCTTAAAACAGATGTAATTAAATAAGCATTTCCTTGTAAAAGGTTACCTTCCGAAGCTGTGAAATGGTTCTTCCAGGTTTTGAAACTTGGATTTCGTAGCAGGGCCTTACGTCCATAACTGCAGTAGAAAGGAATTGACACATTTTGCTCCCGAGTGATGATGTTGCCGGAGTAGGACTGGACACTTCGCACTTTGTTGTAGAAAGTTATCGCGTCCTCGCTTTCGTTATGAGTGGTTCCACAGTCATTGAGACTCGTACGCAAGGAAATGTGGGAATCGTTGTAGGACGCACGACATGACGGGTAAAGAAGTGTCAGTTTGTTTGGATCAAAGCCTTGGAAAGTTTTTCTCTCCAGAAAGATAAACATTGCTTCAGCTGTACATTTCACTGTAATACCAGGTTCTGAAAAGACCGAAAAACATTGGTTCACAATTGAAGTTTCTGCCTGTGAAATCCTTTAACAATGTATTTTACCCATCCGTTAATACTTATCTCCCTATTAGTTTCAACAGATATAAAAGAATCTTGTTGAAAAACTGTTCTGTACCAAATGTTTATGCATTAACACGTAACACAGCAGTGTAGAGGGTCGCGCAGTCAGCTGTGAGAGTATATTTGGCACACAATTTAGAATAATTTACTTACCATGGCAAGTCTTGTTATCAAAGCCCATTGTTACACCCTCGGGACATTTGCAGTAGTGACCTCCTGGGATATTCACACACTGGTGGGTGCAGCCGCCATTTTGAGTTAAGCATTCGTTTATATCTATCAGTAATTACAAACATAAAATATCGTGAGATTCCTAAGAAGCAAGATGAGCTAATTAATTGAACTCTGAACATTTTACCAAATTTAAAACGGCGCATTCTGAAAATCCCAAGAATCTCCTTTTATTTTTGGATATGATTGAAGTTGAATAGATTCCTGCAATGGATCATTTCTGTGCGAATAATCATGCGAGCTTCATAATTTCAAAATCTCTAATGGAACAATTTAACTGCAATTGTATTCGAGAATAGCAAGCCTTTCATGCTAAAGATGAGTTAGTTTTTGTGCAGCTAGCTCACTGCTTGAAATTTTCGCGGCATTTTCCTTTAGCAAGGTGCACGTGGGTATTGATTTTACGACGCTTAAATTACGCCGTTTTCGCGAAATTATTTCGCGTTTTGGCGCAAGATACAGCTTATTTCTGTTTAGAAGTATCCTTTAATCGAATAAAAGCGACGTCAGAGGTACAATAATGTCAAGGAAAGAATCTAAAAAGAACGTCACCGTATTTGCCCACTTCCCCCATTCCTTCTTGATGCCTTACGATGCAGTGTGTGCGAGTCTTATAATTTTGGTGTAATGTTAGGTACAAACTGCCACAAACATTGTTCTCGTAATGATGTTTATGCAGTAAGCTGTGACCATGGAATCAAGTCTTGTTTGTTTTACTCTGTTCGGCATAACTGAGACTATCGGTGGATATTGAAGGATAATGCAGTAGTCCGTGATCTGTATACTTACCCCGACATGTTTTCCCATCCGCCTCTAATCTGTATCCTTGACGGCAAGTGCAGTAATAACTTCCCCATGTGTTAACACAGTCATGTTGGCAATTAGCGGGTAGGTGTAGCACAAATGGTGTACTGGACGCAACAGGCATTACTGTAGCAACCGTTGCTCTTATGTTTAACGAGTCTGAGAGAGGGAGAGAGAAAAGCAGAAGGTGTTGAATAAAGTTTTTTTATACGCCTTAACCAGCCTCTTCTATTGGTTCTGGCAAGTTTGTCACTCCAACTTATAGTGTGTTCATTATGCTGGACTCGCAGAAACTGATCAGTTACGATTCCTGTGTTTCGCCTCCGACTCTGGATTGAAATTTGACTGAACAATTTAGACACTCACTGGCACTCGCGTGTGAAGATGTCATCACGTTAGGAGAAGTACGCATCACTGGAGTTGACTGGACGCTACGTTCTGAAGCAAAAGCAATAATTGAATAATGTTAAAATTACGTCATAAGCGAATCACCATCTCTGCAGTAGCTAAATTCGCTTTTTTCGTGGCCAGCTTAAATTTGGTTTGATGTTGGTATACACTTTATTTTATCTCTCTCTTTCTTGTTTTCTTTTCTAACTTATAGTGTTTCCATTTAGCTGGACTTGCAGAAACTGATCAATTACGACTTTCCTGTGTTTCGCCTCCGACTTTGGATTGAAATTTGACTGAACAATTTAGACACTCACTTGCACTTGTGTGTAAAGATGTTACCACGCTAGGAAAAGTACGCATCACTGGAGTTGATTGGACGTTACCTTCTGAAGTAAATGCAATAATTGAATAATATCAAAATTGCGTCATAAGCGAATCACCATCTCTGCAACAGCTGAATTCACTTTTTTCGTGGCCAGCTTAAATTTGGTTTGATGTTGGTATATTTTATTTTTTCTCTCTCTTTCTTGTTTTCACTTTCTACTTTGTTTGCACTGGGAAAAACAAAAACATTTTCTTCATACTTTTCTTTCACCCGGTCTAACACCTCTTAATAGTGTCCCCACAACTTAAAAAAACCTCTTGTTATTGGTTTTTTACTTGAGTAGTTTTAAAGAAAAAACACACTAAGCAACCATGTAAAAAAGATCTGAAAAACTAGGAATCGATGACTTAAGCAGATGATTGAGTAAGCAAATGTAATAATTTGTTACCTCCGCAGTAACGCAGATGACAAGCCGGTGGTCGTCTAAGTTCGTAGACATAAAATCCACCACAGTTGCGCACGCGGATGATCGTGGACCACGAACAACATTGCGACCCCCAGTGGAAGCACACCAACGCACGGATAATCCCGTCAGCTACGGAAGGGTGCGCACCTCTCAGCCAGCCAGGCGCATGCGTTCCACAATGATACTTTCTCACACAGTAGGTGGGCATTTGAGTTCCTGCTGCACCGCGAAATCTGTACCAGCCATGGGCAAGGCCTCTGTCGCATGTGACATTCCCGACGTAGTTAACTGATCTTCCAAAATCCTCCAAAAGGTAGTGACTCGTGCACTCTGAAATAAACGTAAAGATAAATGGAGATTCTCTCTGCATCCTTAATTGCTCCATGTTTCGAAAAAAAATTGTAATAAGCGATTCGGTTGAATTTTTTCAATGACTGTTAAACGCGAATAAAAATTCAAGCGCAAGTGGGAACAAAAAGAAATGCTAGAAAAATAAAAATTAATAACCAGAATGGGCATAAGCAAAAAAAAACGTTGAAAACGAGTAAAGTTTGTAAGATCTAAGACCTCTTGGTACTATAGATACGTAGAAACTCTTTTTTTTTTATGGGAAGTCACGTTACTCTTAAGAGACATCATATTTATGTGAAGTATATATTTATGTATATGACAATTTTTGGTTGAGGTAATGCGAACAGGCTCCTGTTAACAGGAGGTATAGATCAGATTGGAAGGTTCCTACCTTAAGGGTCTTGCCATCCACCACTAATAATATGATAATTCATGGCAAAAAGAAGATAGTATATTACATTGTACATTTATGCAAAGAGTTTAATTCAAAAATTGAGATAAATTAGACCAGGGAAGTCCTTGAGAAGTAATTTGCGGTCACATGAGTGGATCAATTTAACCTCTCTCGGTTGACGTAGATTGAAGTTACTAGGAGCAGTGTTATCTCACCTGAAAATGTAACTGTAAATGTTCCCTCTGAAGAGTATTTCGGAAGTTTCTCTGACAAAAACCCGAACACAACTATACCCCTTGATGGGAAAGGGTGTTGTGAATAAAGTGCCTCGCCCAAGCAAGATGGCATTGTTTCCTTGGCCCGAGAGCACAGTACAATGAATGGGCAAGGATTCGAACGCCGACCCCTTTCGAGATTTCAGAGTCTTGTGAACTAACAACCATGCCAACTTTTCAAGTCAAGAGTAAAAAGTTCCCTCCATAGACATTTCTCTTTCAATTTTCTTTCATTTTGTATTTTTCTCTTAATACTGAGTTCGACATAAAATTTATTCTTACCAGAAATCGATGAAGTAGCAGCAACTGCAAAAGCTAAATGGAAATAATAAGACAGTTTAATACCTCACACAAGTCTACGTAAGAGTTTGCCTCTTAAGGCCTGTTTACATCGGGGTGGGGGACCCCAGGTAGATGAGGTAACCCAGCACACCGGGGTTGTAAGATGGTATGTAAACGCGTTTTATTTTTCGACCACGGTTAGGCGGGCTACCTCACCTACCTGGGGTACCCTACCTCAATGTAAACAGGCCCTCAGGGTACAATTAACCACCAAAAGCAACAATTACTGCTCCTTATTAATTACAACTGAACACCGCTGAATTACCTGGCGTCGGTGAAAAACTAGTAGTGGGCATACTTGATGCCATGGCTGTCAAATAAAATGAGAGAAACTCGTTAGTTTTCCTCCGAAAAAAGAACAACTGAGATGTGTCAAATAACATGCGGTAAAACATATACCTACCTTGCGCAGAAGTGTAATAGCGCCAATACCGATGACTTCGTTTCTTGCGACTCAGAATGGACGGCGCCTTCGAACATTCATTTACGTCTAGAAAAAAAGCAACCCAAACTAAGGTCTCACCGTGAAATTAGAACATAATAATTCTCACGACTTGTAACAAATTTAATTCTCATAATCGTAAATGGTATGTAACAAACATATGACCTGGCGACCTTGTGATACCCTTTTATCTTAATTGAGACTTTTTCTAGCAAGTTAGAGAACACGTGACCTGCCAAGTAGCATATCCTTAAGGTTTAAGTACCAGAATATTCACGACGAATAAACAGCTTCACAACGGCACTTATCTCAAGAAGGCTTAACATGGGACCATAGGCATAAACGTTTAAGGTTCAATTTCTCATGGGGGAACTCAAAGTTTTCTTTTGCCCTGCACTCGTGACAAAATGAATGATTTCTTTTCCTTTTCCCTCTACCGCGCTCAATCATCTTCCTATTCTACGGAAGGCAACACTGATTCAACAAAAAAAACAAAACAAAAAAAAAAACACTGATTCAACAAGGGGCAAGAGTGGTTAAAGATGGATACGATTCAAAAGGATCGCAAATAAGTAAGAGCATAGTGTACCCTCGTGGTACTCCACGCAAAACACAATATTCTTACCACTACACTGATTATTCTGACCCATGTAAGTGCCCTTAGAACAAACTCCAACATCAAATGGCCAGTCTTTCAACGAGCTGAAGCCTGGAGAGGGCGGACCATCCGATGTACAACCGAGGCCCACGACAACACCACGGTCCATGGTGATAGAATAATTTCCTCGCATGCTGAGAACAACTTGCGGCAGGCGGAATTTAAGGCTGAATTTATCAACGGTGACTTCACTCGAAGAGCGTGTGTCAAGTTTGTATATCACGTGATCTTCCACGACGATCCTTATAAACTTGGAATGACGTGGTCTTTTGATCTGTGTTATGGAAACAAACTAGTTAGCCATTTGCTTAAGATAAGAGACTTTCGTGAAATTACGGTCATTGTTTTCGTTTTAGTTTGGAAATACTTAACGAAAAGATTCTTTGTTGCCAAGCGTCTGTTCAGTAATAGATTACAGACGACGTCACAATGTGGTAATAACATAAAGTGGCATTTGAGGCGGAGCTGAGTGTGTCACTGATGTTCTCACCACATTTTGACATCTCCTGTGATCGTTTATTGTACAAAACCATGGCAACCAAATCTTTTTGTTGACGTCATCTGTCCGGTTGTCCTCGAATAGATCATAAGTTAGGACCAACCAAAATACGTGCATAATTCAGCTCATTATATCAAATACCTGTTGGTCAAACGTTATGTTAAAGTCCACAAATCCAAACCACCACGGCCATGACAAACGAGGAACCACAGGAACACGGGAGTACAATAACGGATTTGGAGTGTTGTCTGAAAAGTATCACATTAAAAGGACATAAGAATCAGGCCTGCGGTGCACGAGAATTTTTCGCGTATGAATTCGAAATCAACTGTTTAATTTGAGATACGGAGTAACCAGCAGAATACTATTTAGAATGCAAGCTTACTTGATCCGACGATAATGGTGATACATCTTTGCTTGCTTTCAATTCTGAAATCCGAATTGTTACACATAAATAAGATTTCATCAAAGTATACATTAAGAAAATGATCGAGTCTTATTGAGCCAGCCCGGCAGTGGTGGATGCAGACCCTGAGCTAAGGGAGGGACCCTGTTTTTTGTAGCTTTCCATGCTGGCTTTTCTTCTTTCTGCGATTCGTTTTTTTTTTTAATTATTATTTTTAACCCAAAATGGGGGGGGGGGGGGTCGGGTTCCCCTGGGCTCCTCCCTTAGATCCACCACTGAGCCGTTATCCAGGAAACATGTGAGAAGTGAGAAAGACCTTGCGTAGTCTGCAAATATGCATTGGTACCTTCTTTAAAGGAAAGCGAAGGCGATTTTAATAATTTTGTTGAAGTGACCCACCCGAAGTTGTCAACTGCCTTGAAACAAAAGATATGTCGTCCTTTCTGAGATAATCGCGGATTCCACGACACGTTCCTGTAGAATACTGTATCCCCGATCGAATCAGTGTAATTCAGGAGGCCAGAAATAACCATATAAAGTGGTGTGACAGTGATAATCTCTGTAATGCTAAATTAGAGTAGAAAAAATAAAAATTAAAAAAAAAATGAAAAGGAACTAATCTTTCACTTTCTTCCTTACTGATCAGGACTACTGTGAATCTCGGGGCGGAAGGTGATTGACTTACTTCACAAAACACATGTTTGTGAGTTAGGCCGCCTTGTAAAGGGTTTGAACAATTTTGGACCCAAGATTTCAGATCATGATTTTCCATAACTTGTTTCAGACTGAAATGCATCCAAACGTGCTGGGTAAGTTGAGAATCTCTGTCTATTTCATCGCCTGATTATAAGATACTGGCATTACTTTGACATACACAAAGTAGGAGCATTTTTGTCAAAAATGACCTCTGCTCTATCCTTGTCAGTTACAGAAAAAGTGATTGTTCTTATACGTTTTGCAATATTTCAACAGAAGGATTCTCCTAAGTCTGATAAGCACATTTCTTTAATTGACCAATCAAGGCTTGCTTCAAAAAGTTAAATTGAAAAAAGCAGGTGTAGTTGATTAATATTCAACTGAAAGTATCACTATCATATCCACCTGATTTAGCATGTTAAGGGTACAGCAGTAACACATACCTCCTGGAGGAGTCGATATGTTTTGCTTCAATAACGCTGTTGAATGTGTTTCCATTTGACACTTCCTCACAAGATCCGTCGTTTGGACTTTGGCCTATTAGGACTGGAGCCCTATTACACGGCCCGGAAGATGGACTCACGTGTACAAGAAACTGCAGGCTAACGTGACTGTATGGAGTGGCGCTTTGGAAGTTGGTCGTTGAAGCTGGGTAGTCTTCTAAGGTAATAGCCACTGCATGCCAACCGAGAGCTATATTGCTATGGAGACTCAAAGTGCATTTCTCCTGTTTACATCAAATATAAAAAATAACTTTACAATAAGTAGAAAGATGCAATGCAACAAAACAATAATCTTTTTTTTTTTTAGAATTTCTACCAAAGAAATTGAAGATGTTTCTTTGTGTTGTGACGATCGTGTGACCAAGATAAAAATTCAATATAATTTTGAAGTTGATGATGCATTGGTTGTCTTGTGAGGATAAGGTTGATCCGTAGGAGTATTGCAGTCGAATTATCGGCTTCCAAAACTTTGATATTCAAAACAACATCCAAACTTCCCTCCCGCAAAAGAACAGGAGTACAACAGAAACTTATTGAGCTCGGTGTTGGTAAGATAAAAGCATAAAAAAAAAGAGCAGAGGCAAAATATTTTTACGTAGTGCAATCGAAAAAGCTGAAAATTGTGGGCAAAGTTTTTAAAAAGGAAAAAGAAACTTTGATTGAAGTCAGTTTCCCTAACGTTCTTAACACATCAGCTTAACTTACTTCGTCTAAAGTGCCACTTTGAAAGCTATGACATACATCACCACACTCTCTTCGAGAGCCATTCGACCATCGACAGCGAACTTTATCACCATCCGAGTCCTCGGCGGGAATAGTAATTGTTTTTGGACAGCCTTGCTGGTGTCGAACGATGGGAGATATTGCTGAGATCGGAGATGAGTTGATTTTTCCGCTATCCTGCCGCCTTGTCAGGTTGACAGTGGTCGAGAGAAGCCAGTCTCCATTGCCTCCATTCGCTAATGAGATCCAACAGCAACTTGTATAACTGGATGCAGCGAAACACTGTTAGATTTCATCTGTTAATTTCAGATACGATTACCTTTCATATTGACACTAATCGACTAACACTAAAAGCTAAGTTTAGCTCCAGTAAGAGACTGTGAAATAACTAGGAAATAGAATTGATTTCAGCTATTGGCATCTTTAGAAATTTGTCACGAGTGATTCCCTTAAAGAAATTATACTATCCAGATTTTTTTTAAATATACACACATTATGGTTCTGTTTCGGAAATGGAAAATGAAAGTAGAGCATGAAAGCAACGTGCTCTTTTCCACTCTGCGTATATGCGTTTCTCGTTATTTGTTTATTTCTTGTCAATGATTTCCGCAGGAATTTAGGACGGGCTACCGTCATTATCTTATGCCACCGAGTTTTCGTTTTTCGCGTATTTAGAATTAAATGTGTATGGTTAAATATAGAGGAGTTGCTTAAACGACCGCGATAGCTCAAAATTCTCAACAATTAAAAGCCAATTTGCTTGACTCACCTTATCAGCCAGGGTCCTTCATTCCAGAAAGTATACTCAAAACTGTTTTCCCCTTGTGACCAGTCCTCCTGAACACTGAAATCGGTGCAGTGATATCCTGTGCTTGCCACTCTAAAGCTTGAATAATATCCTTTGTCGTGACTTGCTCTCCAGCTGTCTCCACTTCCTACGATGCTTTGGCTCGCGACCATCGAGTTGTCGCAGTAATATGAATAGGAATAGGATCTTCGGAAACCCAGCCGAAAGTTAAAAAGCACCTGAAATAAGTTCAAACGTTCATCCATCATCCATACTAGACATGTTTCCATTTAAACGCCTTTCATTGGCTCTCTTACTGCGGCTTAAATAAACCTAAAAGCGATAAGGTTCCAGTCCACGCAAACCTCGTAAACCTGATTACTAAATTAATTTGTAAAATATGTAGATATGAGAACTGCTGGCTATAGAATAAACTAGGAATTTAAATACTGAGAAAAAGCGGCATGAGGCAAATTGCAATTTAAATAGAAGTCTTTTAACTTTTGGAAATTCAAACCAAGTAAGTTTCATCATTGTCAGCGTTTGAATGAATAACAAAAGTAATTGTGGCAATGCTAAAATATCTTACAATAAGAAATATGATAGATTTTCAGCTCGGCAATGAAAAATAATTTATTTTTTCGTTTAGGGACAAAGAATCGACCCTCAGACCTTTAGAGCATCGGAACGGATCGGAGCGCGGAATCCGAAGCTCCGAGGTATGATTGCTCATGAGGACTCAGAATTTTCCCTTTTCTCCACGTACGTGACAAGACAAAAAACATCTGTCTCTATAAATATATCAGCGTCTAAATAACGGCGTAAATAAGTCGAAGTAAAGATATTGCAAATATAAGTTAATATCAGACGGGCAAAATTTAATTCAACGTTTATAGCTCTTAAAACGTTGGGTAAGGGGGAAGGTTATAAACACAGCTGCGCAGCCAGAAGCATTCAGAACTTTGAACAACGCAAGTTTTAATATTTCAAAGTTTAGTATCGTTTAGCAATTTAAAATTTGCATAGGTGAGTTTGCATGATAATATGGTCAGTAGCAACCAAAGTGACAGGTGAAATTAGTGAATTTTAAGGCCTTCAGATATCTTTCCACCCTAAGTAAACAATGATATAACACAAACTCGTTCGGACAATTCCGAGAAAACGCGGAAGTTACACTCTGAGTTTGAAGTACTCTGAGTGGCGACGCATTTTTCTAAACTATTTAACTATTAACACTTTTTGGCGGATTAAGCAAACTGAAGGAACCAGTGAAAGCTATTTCCATCCATCTTACGATGAATACAATGGTAAGATATGAAATTTTTCGACAAATTCTACGCAATAGCTTACTGCGCTAAGCATTGTTTATTTTAGCAAAGTACACAAATCATCAAACAGTTTTGCTAGTGTTTTATCATCTAATCGAGTAACAAATGGGGCTTAGGTGAAAAAAAAAATTGCGATTTGTCACTGTAATCTTTGCATTTTGTCTACATAACTGAGAAAATTTGAGATATAGCTCTTTCGAATTACACGCGCTACTCTATCAATTACGGTACTATGCATTTTTAATCATGCGCTGAGCATTCTTTAAATTCTTTTGAAACTAGTTGCAAAACCAAGAGCAATGTTGGCGAAACTTTCTGACAGAGAAAAAGAGTTAAATCTAGGTTAAATAATTATGTGAAAGCAAATTTAGCTTCCAGTTATTCGTGATTTTCAAAGCGACGATTTTTCCTTCCTTAAGTTTTGAAAATTGCTTCTTGATCGCAGGGAAAGAAAATCTTTAGTTCAAAGCTACTCAAAGTTAAAATTGAATCTAATGAAATAATTATTTCCCCCCACAAACTGTAAAGAAAAAACTAATACGAAGTGAGATTTCAAAGAAAAAAATATAATTCAAATGCAAGTTAGTCGGGATGAAATTATATCACTTTTTAAACTTCTTTAAACGTTGAGAAAAGAGGAAGGAATTAAAACTCTAGCGCAGCCGATAACATTCAGAACTGTTTTCAAAACAAAGTTTGAATACTTCAAAATTTTCAGTCGCTTTTAGCGATAGAGATTGATAGAGTTGCGTTTGTATGATGAATATTTAATAGAAACAAGAGTGACTGGTGTAATTAGCATATTTCAAAGCTAAAGATACCTTTCCATAGTAAGTAAATCAAAATCGCAAGGACATTTCCGAGAAAACCCGGAAGTTATTTCCGGAGTTTTAAGTGCTCTGAGCGGTGAAACCAATGCCTTAGCTATTCAAATGCTAACGATTTTCAATAGATTTAGCAAACTAAAGGTACCAGCGTTTGCAATTTAAACAAATGCGATGAAAGGTATGACATTTCTATACAAATTCTATGCAATGACCTTTTTGGCTTAACCTCGTTAGCATCTCCTAGATACGAGTTTTGTCAATCAGTTTGCCAGTGTTTTATCATCTAATCGACTAATCATAATCAGAAAAATTTAGCGATTTTTGTGCTGCAAGCTTTGTATCCCGTCTACACAATCGTTGATATTTTGTAAAATAGCGATAAATTGCCCTTCCGAAGTAATGCGCTAAGACGGCACACTATTTTCAATTAATCATACACTCTGCATTCCTCAAATTCTTGCGGAACTATTTGGCGAAACCATGAACTCCGAGGCGGAAGAAATATTTAGACAAATAAGTCGCACTAAATCTTGGTTAAATAGGCGAGCCTGAAAAGCCTAACAAATCTTGCAAGGGAAAATTAAGCAAATTAAATTTTTAAAAACGAGTTTTCTTTTCTCTAATAATGTTTTGTTCTAAGCTATTAGAACAAAATTATTATTCAAATTTGAGTCCATTTGAAATACGAACTGTACGACCCATTGAGCTACAGTAAAGAACAACCGACCTGTATATATCTATATACATATACGCTATATCTTTTTGCTGACACGTATAATGTTTCTAGAATATCACCCAATACACCCTTGTAATTTCCTCTTTTACCTTGTTCGAATTATTTCCACCTGGCTTCCAAGTGATGATCCCGCCGCGAAAATGCGACGCTGTCGTCTGACGTGAAAACGTCATTACGATAAGGCACAGAATCAAAGAAGAAAGCATTGTGCTAAATGATTCACCAGCAACCTACAGCTGCAACGAACTGGAGCGCTCTGCAGTTAGGCGTTAGCTGACATTGGGTTCTTGTTTGTTTGGTTTGTTTGTATTTTAACAATCAAAGTGTTCCAAGAAATGGTTCTGTTTACCGACATAGGGTGGACAAACGTCGAGAGACAAAAAGCGATGAGAAAACTGATTAAAGTACAGGAGAAACAATCAGTCATCCAATAACTTAATAAAACGTTTATTGTTCTGCGGAACAATCGTATAAGAGAATAATAATAACTTTAAATTACGAGGTTTATCAACATCACACACTGAGCCAAAGTAACGTCAAATGGGACAATTGACCAAAGACAGGCAAGGAACCGTAATTCATCTCAAAGCCATCCAAACCTAATTGCACGTCTCGAATTAAAGGCGGCAAAAAGCCGACAAGAATGATCTGTTTACGTCATTGACAAAGGTCCGGTCATCATATATTATTATTATTATTATCCGATCCTTCCCCCCTCTAACTCTCTGTTTTTTGCTAATAACTCCGCCCACTCTCATTGGCAGTTAAGTGACAGGCGATTTTGTCGATTTTCTATGATCCCCTCCTAATACTCTTTTCACGAAGACTGATCCCCCCTTCCGTTCCCCTTAAAAACCACGTAATCCGCCCAAAATCCCCCCCCCCCCCCCCCCCCCCCCGACCAGGCGATAAATTAGACAACGTACAAGGAAATGAAGCGAGCAATAATTCCTTTAGGAGACTATTCAGTTGATTGAGACCTATATCTTCATTTAGAGGCTGACACAACGTCCGTGTCGAGGGAGGGGAAGCGGCTCTTGTAAAATGGCTGCTCCACTAGGATACAGATTTACTTATTTCTGAAGATATACAGAAAACCTTGGCTCCATCTGCAGTTTAAGGAGACTCGATCTAGTTAAAATGATAAACCTTCGTTAAATTGTACGAATGGAATATTTGTTTCATGCTTTGCAGTTCATGATATTTGAGCAGATTTCACAATTGCTGATGTCGTGTGGATAGTGAATCCATCGAGATGTCAATATAGTCATCAGTCTCCTCTCTGCCTTCATATGAGATCATCAGCGGTGTCACCAGATAGAAGCCCAGCCCACGACCAATCACAACAGCGATGAACAGCCACGTGTTGTATGTCATAGTGATCAACATCAGGAAATATGCGAAAGAGAGCTCAGCCATAAAAAGACACATCTTTAAAAACTGAGTGAAAGCTTCCGACCTAAAGGTTAAATTAAAAGAGGGAAAAACAGAAACGTATTTCCGCCATAATTTACTGATTCTATGCAAGTTCAAAATGCTTAAATAAGCTTTAGTATCATCATCCGGTGGGAAAACATCTTGTGCATCAAAATCATAAAAAGAGCGCTTTCCGTCAGTGGTAACTTTTATGTTCACATAGAAACACTGTAAGGATAAACTCTCCAGGGCGCATTTGTTTAAAGAGAGGATGACGCTATCCAACGTATAAATCGCTTTCCAGCGAATACGTTTTGGCAAAACTTTCTGCGCGATCCACCGGATAGAGATTTATCCAGTGAATAGCGTCATCCATCCTTAGGACAACCGGGACCAATTTAAAAGAAATTTAGCATTATCAACTGAGTTGATAACATAAAATGGCTATGGCGAAGGGTAACGCTCGAAACGTCAGCTTGAAAACTCTTTATCGTGGTAATACTAAAATTACCCTGTTATACTCTCCCACCGACGTAGCAACACAGTTTCTTTAGAAACTTACCCTCTTTATTCGTTTCCCCAATTTAAAAATGCTGTGTAAAGCTTTTGAAGCAATGACGCCCACGATGTAGCAAATAAGCTTCGCTCATACGCTCACGTAACTTTATCCTATTCCTTTTTACTCTTTTTGACCCTGTGTTTGTTTTTTTGTTTGTTTGTTTATGTTTTTTTGATCGGCCGTTTTGTGGACATTCCACATGAAATTTATAATGCTCTTTTAGGTTTATTCACTGTGCGAACATCGGAGAGACACGTTATATCTTATGCAAATGACTTCTAATTTTGTCATAGGGCACTAAGTCACTGGAAAAGCGCCTCGGAAGTAGAAATAATGAAAACCTTACCTATAAATCCTTCTTTTCGTCATATTCGTTCTTTCATTCTGGTTTTGAAGGCGAGATCGTAAATACACATGTAATCCTTTTGCACATTCGTACAGAACAGCCAGCGCCAGAACTGCCACTATGGAACCACTAACACCTGAAAATATTAATATTCTGCAGTTGTGAAGACTGAAAGTCCTGGATAAAATATGATACGTTGATATTTAACTCTGTTTCAATGTTTTTTTCTCCCGATTCCACTGAGATGCACACTGTTTTTCTCCGGCTCAAACATTTGGCCCGTTTGAAAAGGTACTTTACATTAAGTCTCCATATAGTAGTTCCCAAATAGCGCGGTATTCCTCAAACAGAAGTAATTTTCAAACAATTTATGAAGCTTATCAAAATTAAATCACCAGTATTGATAAATCATGAGGTACTTTGATGAAATTTTGTAAGGAAAGAAAATGGTGTATATCATGAAAAATGGAGAGTTTTCCGTGATCTTCTTGAACAAGCTTTATAATGTAGAATTCCTTTTTCTCTTTCTTTGTTTGGTTTTCATTCATTTTTTTGTTTATTTGTTTTTTATCGGATATGGCCTGATCTTGTGCGGTGCGATACAAAACAGAAGTTGAGCTGGCGAGATTCTTTACTTCTTCGGTTCAACTTAAGATAACATAGGTAGGCTGTCTAATGGAAAAGTCATGAATTGGAAATCGTTCGAGAAAACAATATTACCGACTAAAAATACATCCGCTTCTGCTAAACTAAAGGACACATGTCCGGTCCTGATCCAATTTGAAGTATCCGTTTTGCTCAAGAGCTCGTGTCTTCCCACGCAGGCTTATTTAGAATTGCGTGCTGTTGACCATAATCAGTTGTAAAACGAATTAGCGTCGATCTTTCGCCGATTTATTATTTTTAATTGCGAGTTCCTTTCGGACATTTTTTCCTTTGCTAAGTTATCGGTTGCGGACTGAAAACATTTTCCTTGACATACACTCTTGTCTAGACTTAAAGACTTTTTAAACAACAAAACTGATGCGCTTGAATAGATCGCCCGATTTTACTGCTCTGGCATGTGATACGTTGAAACTCAAGCGATTGTGGGCAATTGTAATGGAAACGAATCGATCAATGAAAAAAAGGAGAAAATGAATAATGAATTTTTAGAATGCTATGAATTTTTCTGTTTTCTTATAAGAAAACAGAAAAATTAGAAAAATGTGTGGATCCTTAACACGCGAGATTGAAACATGACGTTTCGGTGACGACCTGTCACCATTACCAAATGTAAAATTATTATAATTATAAGTTAGTGACGTTAAGTTCAAAATGCATGTTATTACCTGAAAGATTTCAAAGGTGGAAAGTATCTTGACCAAAATTAGCTTGGCCTTTTAACGACATACAGATCGGCTTTGGGGGAGCAATAGAGTCAGTTTTTTGAATAGAATCACCTGAAACTTTTCTCCGATTTCGAGCTAGAAAACTTGGAGGTTTTACTGTTTGTGGAAATCTTAACTAAAAAGACTGCATCAAAAGGCTCTACAAACCTTGCAGACCATTTCTCCTCAAGATATGGTCAGAAATAAACTTTCATTATTTATTCTACAATCCCTAAACCACATCTATTGCACAGCTCTTTAATTAAAAAGAATCATGGATAAAAAGATTTATTATAAGAACTGGAATAAAATGGGAATGTTAGGCGTGAATTATTTAGTTCAAGAGTAACCAACTGTCCATGTTACATGCACGTCGCCATCAGGACCAGAAAATGGATATCACTATAAAATCTGTCCAGTAACGTACACCGAAGTAATACAATATCTTCTATCTGTTATCAAAAATCTTTTGAAATGCAATTCAGCGACTAGCGTAATACTTGACCAATTTCTTTCATACAGTTTCTTACCGTAATTTATTTCATACGTATTGAACAAACGACCGTGAAAATACATCGTTCGTTCAATCAGAGACACGAATGATAATACTCTACAATGGAGGGCAACAAATTGTTTCCAATCTCTGAGATGAGTCGGTCAGTAACAAACAAATCTCAGTGCGTATGAAATAAAAACATCATTCCATGGAAATTGCGCAAGAACCATTTTTATTCACGAGTTGCGATGCTTCAAAGGACTCACTCCTCTGCTGCGCTCACTCGATCGTTTTTCTGATGCATCGCAACTCGTGAATAGAAATCGTTCGCACGCGTTTTCAATGGAGTCATTTCTGTTTATGCCTCACAGTCGCAATTTGTGTACGATTTACACGTGCGATAAGATTTATTGTAGTCGACGGAAATTTTAAAACTGTCATCAAGGTAACCGTGTTGAAACTTCGCCACCGATGACGTCAGCGATTGTTGGTGTTAAAAGCTCGGATACGGATAATTGGCTAAACCAGTATGCCTACTGCATGACTCAGCATTTGGATGTCAATTACGACTTGACTGATAGACATAACGGCGTTGCATAACGCTTTTTTGATGGCAACGCTTTCAGTGCGATGTATCGTATAATTGTCACTTATTGTCGTGAGTGAGTTTTGTGAAAACGATACAAAAAATACGCTTTTGCGGGTCCATTTGGCAAGACGAAAGCGTAGAGGAATTCCATAAGCCTACCAACATCCGTTCTGTTCTTAGTCTGCTGACCCTACAAATTTATGTCAGAATAGTTTGCGCATCTTTAAAATCAGAACATAAATCAGTGACTACGCAAAAACGGCAAAAGCCAAAAAGGAAAAAATGATACAAACGCATCGTTTAAAAAAAATACCAATATTTTTACAGACTCCATTACAGATTGCCCTTTTTTAGAAAATAATCTTAAATGATGGAACTAACGATAATTATTTAACTGAGTTTACAAACCTTTCATTGTAGTAACTCTCCATTGTTTAATAAGTATGGATATTTGGCGAAGCTCAGTTGTGAAATACATCTGAAAAGTCAGAAGCAGGCAGCTTAACTATAATAATCAAACTTGATACCACGCACGCAGATGTGTTTTTCTGCTGTCAGCGCATGAAGATGCTATGTTACGTTATATAACATTCTCAAGTTTTCAGACTGGTCATTTTCATTACGTGTTAATTCGAATTCCATCTTGAACTATTTCTCACTACTTTTCTTAACCCGTTCTTACCTCTTCGGGATTGTTTTGTACTCTGAGAAGTAATGGTCTTAAGAGCTTCCCCTAGGCCTAAACGCGAGTGCCCAAGGTTAGTGTATCGCGACTTACGTCAATCAGGGTTTTGGAAATTTGCCAAAGTTGTCTGTTATGTTTACAACTCACACACCAGTGGTAAACGAGATGCACCGGTTACAAGTTTATTAATTTCCGATGATATCCTATGGGAATATATATACCTATGTAACAATCATTAGATTGCGAGTTCAAGATTTATATTTTGTGATAGCTGTCGAGGGCGAAGCCTTAATCAATTATCACTCATGGAGGTCGCGAGTGAATTATCTACTTGTTAAGTATAAATCTAGCAGTCGTTCAGAACTTTCCAGATCGACAGGTTTATTTGACTTAGTTTACGACCACACACAGATTACAGAATTTCTGATAGTCGTTATTTATACTAAACAAGTTTAGTTTTCCTGTCTGTTATCACAGTGAACGTTGTCACGAAAACACTCGGCATGAGACTGGATAAGTTCGAAAATGCGAACTCATTTCCGTTACAGGAACAAGGGGTTTTTGTTGTACATTGAAAGTAATTCTGAATTGGGCTTACTCCACGCGATTGATGATTCCTTGTGTTGCTTACTCGACCGTTTTCCTGTGTTCAAGACCGACCAGAAAATGTGTTCTTATTTTGATTTTTCGCTGGATCCAAGTGTAACTTAACTTTTTCTAATCAGTCGTTGGAATTAATTTGGTTTTTGTTTTGATTCAAAAGGAGAGCTGCGTTTCGGATACGTTTAAAAACTTTGTTTTGTGTTCAGCAGCCTTGATTACTTCGAGTCAAACTCGACAATATTTGCTTGACGCAGTCATTCGTAACCTTCCTAAGTCAATTACGAGAGGTACACGTTATTAGGATGCATTTAGAAGCGTGTCAGAAATGAATGAGTCGCCAATAATCGGATCCTTGTGTTTGCACAAAGATTTCTGGGATCACCACGGGGCAAACATTGCAACTCGCTAGAAAAAAATGTATGGCGAAAGGCTGTTTCGACGTCCAAAAAACGATTTTGGACGGCGTTTTTGCCGCTATTTAATCAGGAATGGGTGTGGGAAATATTGATACAAGGGTAGAGCAAGGTTTAGTTTGAACAAACGTGAAATATGCAATGAAATCTAGCGATTAACTTTTCTTCGTGCGCCAAGGTTTAGTGAAACTGCGGACGGCACGTAATGATCTCACACTGTAGAAATATTCGTTTTAAATCGCTAAGAAATAACTTAATAAAGCCTTTCCAGCTTTATTTACTTGTGTTAAGTCTACATCTAGCTTTTTCTTGGCTTGGCAAAATAAAAAAAGATCCTACAACAGCTACCCCCAGGTAGCAGAAGTTTGAAATTATGTGCTTGAGCATTAAATATTATCGCGATTTATTAAGTGATTAAACACCTAAATTGCCTCTTTGTTGCGACCAATGAGAACGAACGAGCGTTGATAATCGGCTCAAAACTGAAACTTTCTTATACGACGATGAGTAGGTAAAAATGGGTCGCTCAAGAAGCGATGCACAACTGAATATATAAACGTCCATATTTTCCGCCGGAGTTCCCGTGATCTTGGTTTCCCTGACATAATCCTTCAAAGAGTTCGAGGAGATAAGTGGCGGCTCAAAAACTTTCGGACTTTCTCAACAAATTATCACTTGACCAAGGGATTTCCTTTTGTTTTTATTGCTTATTTCATCCTTCCATAGATCGAGTAACAGCTCGGTAAAAACAATTTCCATCTCCGCTAATGACGACTTCTCCTTTGAGAAGGTATATTTTCAGACATCATAATATGTTTATTTAATACATTAACAAGTTTAAAAACAGGCTGTACAAACAAAATTACAACAGAAAAGACTTAAATGAGTTATATCCGTGTGATTTAAGGCTAATTTTGGAATATGGCGAGACCATTACAGGATTAACGATTATAGACCTTACGCAAGGAAAGAAGTGAATCGGTATATTTCAGTTCACACTGGTGGTGGAATGGTATTTTCTATCAAATTCCTTATCTGAAACATGTCGGGTAACACTTGCAACCTGCGTGACAAGTGACACGTGACAGGTAACAATACAAATGCCTTTCAGAAGTTTGTAAATCAGCCGGCTCGATACATTTAGATGATGCCTGCATGCAGTAATATAAACAAGAAACATGATTGTCCAACGCTACACACTGATCAAGAAACTTCCTTGTTTTGTGTTACCACCTATGAACGTCACGCAAATGTTCGTCAAATGACCGTCACGCATTCTCATATTGCGCATTCCAAAGAAATGCAGCACAAGTTTTTGTTTTCGTTTTTGCTAAGGTTGTTTTTTATCTTTTCCCACTAAGAACTGATCGAAACTGATCGAGATAGACGGATTTAGATCATTTAAATGAAAATTAAAAGCAACATCTTGTTTCAAGGTTAACTTTCTACATCAGTAACAGGAGATAACACACTTTAAAAGGACAAAGTCATTATTGGAAAACTTTTTCTTGCACGTCAGTGATATCTTATCATAGCCATAGACTTTTCAAAAACGAGGGATTTGTCCTTTTACTTCGAAGGGTGGCCAACAAGGAATTTCTCCAACAATAACGGTCGTGAAACGAACAAAAAACTATGAATTCCCCAACCGTTTCCTCAGGAAGTGGTATATTCAAAGTGATTTTAGTGAAACCAAGAAAAACATGCACCCATCTGATTAATTTCGGGCCATTTTCTCTATTATGTGGCACGCGCTCCGCCAATTCATTTTCAAATTCACCGCCGGTAAGTCTTAACAAGTTCCGCATGTGTCGCGGCGTTCTGCGCAATGCTGCAGGCAGCATTTTCATCTGTCAAGTGGTTTTTTAATCTGAAAATCGGAGAAACAGGGCTTAATGTTAAATATGCTTTGTGTTGGGTTGCGAATGTTTTGGAATTGAAATCGCTAAAACTTTCGAGTCTCAGGCTTAAGATTTCGCTGGACTACCAACGTTCAAGAATATTAACTTACTGGCAAACAAATATTCCCAATAAGGATTATTAGGCTTCTTTTTTTAAACCAGGGAATTTTTGCAGTACCTTGTATCATTGTCATGGTTTATGTCCCCCTGCCTCCAGCGCTATTATTATAGGGAATTTCTGTTTGCGCCATGCAAATAGCGATTTAGAAAAACAAATTGGACAGTTTACAAGCTTTGCACTCCTCCTCTCCGCCCCCCTAGGAAGGTAAGGACATAGTTGGTATTCAAGAAAGAAGTGCCCCCTATTCGTTATTACTGCGGAGCGACCGCAATATTCATGCGACCCTAAAGAGCTGGACAGAAGACAAGTAAGTGTATTACCTTGCTCCGCGTCCTCAGCACAAAAGGCATTCAAATGCATCTATCGCCTGGTTCCTCCACACAAATTTTCGTTCTGATACAAGAATGGAGAATAATTTCATCACAAGGTAAACATTCACGAAATATGTAGCACCTAATACACGTACTTTACACTAAATAGTCTAACACACGCACACATTTCAAGGTTGCTTAACTTTGTCATTTAAAACCGCAGAATACATTTGTGAATGTCGGCATTACTGCCAAAAACAACAACAATCTGTTTCGTCGCTTAAGATTTTGGGTTTGAAATTAAAGTTTCCGTTGCCTAATTCCTGTTCATGCTCATACAAACTTTAGTGAATTCGAAGAACCAAGCTTTCAGACGTCTGCTAATTGTTTGAGAGCGAAAAAGTAATTATTTTTGAAGGCGAAGCTGCGGAATTTTTCTTTCTAGGTTCGGACTTACCAATATCAGGAATCTTGAAAAATCTTCCGTGGACGAATGAACACAAATGCGGCAGAGTGACTGTGTTCACACTGTCTTAAAATTTTCACTGACTTTATAATTGGACCTTCCTGTCTGCAAAAGGAAACGGCTCTGTCTCTAAACAGGCTCTCTCACTTCTTTGAGTAGGATCAGCCAGTTTTCATGCTCCCATGCAAACTGTTCGCGAAAGAATTTTGAATGTTCAATCATAAAGACAAGAGAGTAAAATAATATCCAATCCATCTGGCATTGAAAACACAAAGTAGACATCAATTAGCGTGTCTGTACTACATTACAGAACGATCGGGCCTTCCTTTTTAGTTACACTTACACGCTCCCTCGTAAAAAGAACGCCCCATCACAGGTTAATACTACAGTGGAAAAGAATTCTGGGTTTCATTTCATTCACACCTAACCTCTCTTTGGGCTCAGCCACACTTGGTTAACGGAAAGCACCCTTAAACATTGCTTCCGCGAATGATAAAAAGGAGCGATTTCTTATTTAGAATATTGGCAACTTCAGGTGTTCTTGCTGTTATTGCCCTTGCGGTCTTGTACGAATGCCTCAAGGGAATTCGTGCTCTTTTAAAACTACATAACAGAAAAGACGACTCCGAGTCTTTTTGCATTCAATTTAAATTTGAGATGAACTCTTAAAGTAAATACATGCTTGTAATAGAAAAGAAGGCCACTACACTAATATAAAGAAATAGAGTCAATCTATATTTTGATGCGAAAGACAGTGAAAGGGTAATATGATATAAAATCTGGCAATTACAAAAGGAGAAAACATTAAAACACAGCTACAATGCGTGGCTGTGCTAATACTGTCCAAATGAATACTGGGATTGGCCAACCTGTACCAGGTCACTCAAGGGGCCTCGATATTTGTTTAAACAGAATTATGGTGTAAAAACTTATTACGGACTTCTGCACGAACTCACGAATTGGAAAAGGTTTTAATTAAAATCCTGTTCCTTTCTGGATGTCCATGGTCACTTTCACATTCCCACACAGATGAATGTTCTCCTTGCCCCAACATTGAAAAAAAAAAGCTGTGCAAACATACAATTTTAAAAGAATTTTCCAAGGTTCTTTTGGAAGTGTATCTCACACAACAATAACAAAGATCGAGGCCACGCGAAACCAAATACCCCTTAAGGGACTTGGTACAGGGTTGGCCAATCCCAGCATTCATTCTGACCCCAATATTAGCAAAGTCACGTATCCTCTACTTCTGCGTTTCTCGTTTTTCTCTAATTTCAGGCGGAAAGTTCTCAAAGAGCTCTCAAACACGTTTTTTTACGTTGTCCAGTTATCAGTCGGCTACTTCCCGATGTTGGTCACTTTTACTCACAACACGTGGTTATTTATGGCTGTTACAATTAGTCATGGTCTAGGCTTCTATCTGGTGACACCTCTGCTTATAGCCTACTCAGAGAGAGAGGATATTGGTAGCTACCATCACATTAGAAAGGATTTACTTTTAGTAAGAAGAAAGCGACAACCTTTGAAAAGAAATGCAGACATATAGCTAACATAGGAACGGCGAGGAAGTGTTCTAAAGCGAAGGAGGATGGAATAATGCTAAGGGGGAAGTTTTAATCATGGCCTATTTTGGCCTATGTATCAATTTAACTACGCTTCAAGTTGAGTGTAGTTCAGTTTGTACAGTACAAAATATGACTATGGTACCGAAACTATCCGTGATTTTAAAAAAAGAACAATAACATAATTTATCAAATGTTAAAATCTCCCTCCTCCCCGAAAAAAGAAAAGGAAAGAAAGAACAAAATGGTGATAAGTAATTATAGATAGATACCGTTGGCTCTTTTTTGCACCCACATCCCAGTTTTATCCTGGAACAAACAATTTGGAAGCAATCTTTTTTCCGAAGTTTATCTGGCAAAGTTTGAAAAGGCTGGAGTCGTGATGTCATCGTCAACCATTTGCGTTGCGCAGAGCATCACGGATGTACTATTCAACTCCCGGGTGTAGCAGCCATGGCGGCCAAATCGACTCTACGGGTGTCCTGCCGCTGAAATACCCTCGTTGCTTTAATGAATTCTAGAACAGTATTTTAAATCGGAAGAAGCAACCCTAATAAGTTTTCCGTGTAGACTACAGTGATTTCCAATGATCTCTTGTAGGAATTTATTTTTCAAATAATTTTCAAGCCATCCTTTGACACGGCTTCCGATATCAAATCCGCTGCAAAATGAATGAAGAGCCATATTTAGATCACATCTTTTGTAATCTCACACACCTTAATCCAATTTACCTCCGAATCAAACATCATAGCACAGTTCGAGTGCCTCCTGATTATAGGAGGGTCTCTATGGGATTAACCGTTAGCCGTAAGACGGCAAAAAAGATTTAGCCGTTAGACATAAAATTTTAAACATTCAAACCGTTAGTCGGAAAAAAAGTTAATTGTAGGAATCTTTCTTCTGATCGTAACAGAAAGAAATTAATCGCGTACTCCCCTTCTCCGCATCCCACAAAAAAAGGATAAGTTTGATACTCAAGAAAGAAGTATTAGCGACCCACTGCAATATTCAGGCGACGCAGAGCAGAGAATTACTGAGAGAAATTAATTCCCGTAAAATGGCCTAAATTTTAACTGTTAGCCGTAAAAGCTATTATCCCATTGAGATCCTTATAAGAAGTATTCTAAAATCGTCAATTAGTCTTCTTCGCTCAATATTTCATCCATTAAAAGTAATTAAATTCTTCCGATGTTGAATATGATATTAATATCATCCTTGAAAAGCGTTCTCATTTGCACGTATCTAAATTTTAATGATATCTAAGGTACTTATCTCTATTTGTTTCCCAAAAGAAATGAAAACGGCTACCAATCGTTAATATGCATGTCAGAATGATAATGTCACTGACTTGAATTCACAATAACAAACGGATACCATAGAAAAGAATATACACTTACTTGTAAATATTTTTTTTCAATTCAAAAGTGCTCTGTAAGAAGAGCCTCCTAGGATTTTCAACTCCATCAGCTGCCCAGTGAAATAGGTTCTCCTAGCTGATGACCATTTATTTCTCTGTTGGCTAGTCATTAAAATTTGTCGTTAATCTCAGACAATCGCACCTTACTTTTCATCATCAATTTTTCGACATTAATGACTGGCCAAGTTTATTTTAACGACGTTACTCTCAAGTCACTGCGTCTCAAAGTCGTATAATTTTTACGAAATTTTTTCGGGCAAGGCAAAGTGAAAAGGAAACCATACGATGTCAGAGTCAAAATCAGAACTTCAAGTTAGGAATAGAGATGAAAATACCACAAAGAGAAACTTGACCAAAATAGAACGAGGCCACGATAACCACGAATCGAGAAGACAAAGACAAATTTCAAATGACCGTTGTTAAACATAAGACGCACATTATTTAACCTTAAATATTTTAGATAAAAAAAAATTGACGAGCGATATGCCGTAAAAATTAAAACAATAATCTTTCCAACCGAGGTTTAGACAAAATACAAAATTTCGAAATTGTTGTTTTTCCTTTCTTAGAAACACAATTTCAACCTTGTCCTCTGCTGGTGCATCATGGTTCAAATATTTGCACACATATAATAATTTATACTCTTTTTTCAGTTTTATAAACGCAAGGTTGTGATGTGTTTTTTGTAGCTTTACAACTTTTAAAAAACTTAATGCTAGCAATCACACTGTAATTATGAACGTTTTTATCCAAAGGGAAAAATATTTTTAAAGATATTTTTAACTCTGTGTGCTTTTCAAATATACAATTCTTTACACGATTTTATTATGTCTTTTTAATAAGTGATAGCATCTCCTCGCGCATACTTCGACTACTAACGCAATAAATAATCGGGTTACAAAGTGAGTTCAACATGAGACACGATTGTACAAGAGGGAACCAAGAAGTCAGCGATTTCAGGTCCACAGGAAACCTCACAGCTAAAGATACGATGAGCATCGGTGAAACACACAACACAAGGAAACCAATGATGATGCCGATAGAAATCCAGGCTTTCTTCTCTTTCAAGAAGCGTTTATTTTCTTCCCCCATCGGCAGCGATGGTATCGGGAAGAGTTGCCAATCCTGTGAGCAGATCTGTCCCCGCCAAAGAGGTTAACAGTAAGTTACTTTCGATCTGAAGTCTGTGTCTGGTCTTCACCGCTATTATCACTAAAGCGTTCGTAACAATGATTGCAGGGAAGCTCAGTGTGTTAAAAATTAACGCTGCAAGAGTGACCGAGTGGGTTAACGTTTGATAATCATAATTCTGAAATCGGAGGCAGTATATGGTGGACTGAATCAATGGTGTAGAAGTCATCCTTATAGATAAGGATTTGTTGAGACTCTTAGCAGAGTATTATTTAAAACTTTTGCGGTTGGAAAAGTTTTGAGGTTATGCCTGGCTTGGAACTGAGATCATATCCTCTGCGGTTTATGATAATTATAGACTCACGAGAAAATTGCCCTGACATCACAGGCAGTAACTTGACAGCGAAATATATTTTCAAAACTGAATTGAAGAAAATTCTTACAATGATTTATACTTATCATAAGTATAAATCATTGTGAGAATTGTCTCTAACAATTCCTGTCAGTGAGAGGAATTGTTTCCCGGCTCAAGGTGTCAGGAACTGCCCACAGCATAGCATTGATAGAGATTAACTACTTTATCAGAAAAAATACGTCTGAACAAATATGTTCAGAAAAAATATGTCTCAACAATAGATACGCAAATCAAAGAAGCACGTAAGCTTTAATGGTCGTTGAAACGGTAGCATTTACAGGGCCTTAAATTTTAACTGAGTGTCATGTACCCTATAATCGCCCGGAACGATTTCTGTTTTGCAGCCCTAAGATGCATTGAGGGTTGTCCAATACACACAAGGAGCAGTAAGCAAACGACTCATCAACTAGCGTTTTCGTAACATTATATTGAATTGACGGAGAAACTGAATAGAATATCTGCTTACTCGTTTAATTGCGGCGATTCATATTTCAGGGCTTAGCGGCGGTGATCAAACAATCAATAGGGATTTTTAATGAATTGTTAGTCTCAGACAGAATGAACAAAGGGACAATCAAAAAAAGTTCCTCACCGATTAGAGAACAATAACGTATTTGTAAATCAAAAACAGTGAACCTCTATCGAGCGGCATTTTGCCATACTTTGGATTTTGGAAATGTTAATGGCACTGATCGACATGCCTACCGGCAGGACACACAACCAAGCTCTGAATGACGATTAATCTCGGCAAGTTTAATTAGTTTTTTTAACCGCTATGAATGATACATAAAAATTTAAGACGATACTACTATAAGGTCACCCGTGTCCTGTTTCAATTCTTGGGTGTTTACGATCAGGTTTGTTACAAAACCGACGAAAACCTACAAAGACAGCGAAAGAAAACCAAGTCTAGTATTACATCAAATGTTCACTAACACGAGCGAGTAATTATCCTAGCCCTCATCGTCGCTGTTGTTGTCATTATTGCTATCTTTATTGTTGTTTTTTTCCTTGTTCCTGCAGGCCAACCGTTGACACATTTAAATATAGCATAGAAGTACAGTTCATTCATCCTCAAATAGTACTTTTTTTACGTCATGGGGCTCTTATGTCTATCAGATAAAGGCTTTAAGAGCCACATGACGTATTGCTTCTTAAATGCGTTGAAAATGTTGAAAGTAAGAGTGCGTTTCTTTGTTGCTGCGGTTATTGTTATCATATGATATTTTTTATCTCAACGCTAACTTTGGGAAACGAAGACGGATCCTCCTTGTTGACGCGTTTCAAGCCTGCCTTTTTAGTATCCTTCTGAAGGCCAAAACAGCCCTCGTCTTTATTGATATCTATCACCAGTCCAAATTGACATTTTCCCATCTTGTTCAGACCTCTGGTTTGAATTGCTTCTCTTGTTTTCATGGTCATCTCCCGTCCAAAAACACCTGAATAGTGAAAAATAGTCAGTTGATTGGTTACCTTATCCGAAGTCATAATTCATCGACTGAGGGGGGATGGATGTTGGAGGATTTAAGGGGAGATCACATGGTTTTAAGGGTGAACGGAGGGAGATCAGTCGTCGCCAACATAGTATAGAGGGTGATCATAGAAATTTGACCGCCAATCAGCTGCCAATGACGGGGGATAGGGGGTGGGGGGAAGGGAAGGAACTAAAAGAGAAGAGCCTCAGGGGGGATTACGTAATACTATCTCGACAAAAGCAAAATCCTCCGCACCCTCCTCCTCCGGCGATAAATGACGAACGGTCCCTAAGATACTCTACTTCCTTACTCCAAAGTTCCAGATGTCAATATGCAGAAGAAGTTATACAACCAATAGCTATTTGTGCCTCTCTGAATGGAGAGATCCACACTTAGTTTCCCGGCATTTTTAAACAAGCAATCAGCAGAGTGCGATATTACTTAGCTTCTACTGCTTTTTTTAAACAATGACTCGCGGTTTAAATTCACAATGAAACTGTGGGTGAAAAAGTTTCTTTTCCTAAATACTCTCTAGATTTGGAGACTAGCTCGATTTTACCTGGTACGCGGTTGTTCAACAGCTTTCCTACTCTATGCGTACGTTTACAATCGACTTCTTTGTGGTACTGGTATGATGTCTAAACAAAAGAAAAGTGAATTTTTAGTAACAAAAAAAAGGCATAAAAGGAGCTCAGGAAATTAATAGAGCAACAATTTTACGATTTGATGTCAGCTATGGCTTTCAGTGGCTTCCCGTTTTTCCACAGAGAAATCCGCTGGTAGTGACTTGTAGAGTTTGCGATACGATATTGCAAAATTTTTACAGGGAATGTGTTCCTTTTCAGGTCATGTATCAAGTACAATATACCCTGTCACTTATTTATCTTACCAAAGAGAAAAAGTGACTTTACTAACGTGCCTCGTCCTCCAAAGCACACATGCCCCTTTGGATAAATATGTCGTGAGTTTTAAAGACACAAAACACCCAGAGAGCTCAAGGTACAAGAGTATAGTATATGAACAACAGATACCTGGCAATGTTGTTCACCGCTTACTAGATCTTTCACCATTTTGGTAGTAACCTGTACTTTAAATCCTTTCTTCTCCAGCGCAGCCGTCTTCAGCATTTCACGGACCTCAGACTCTGGGAGTCGAAACTTGCGATTACGAATTTTCACATCCAGCAACTCATCAGAGTTGGCATCTGTATTATAAATGGAAATTTATCAAACTTAAATTTTGCATCTAAAATGCAAAATAATTTCAGAAAAGCCATCTAAAAACTGGTTAATTCCATATTCAATTCAAGAGACCGTCTCATGCATGAACAAGCATAGTGTACCCAAGCTCATGTTTCTATAATTTACGAATGGTTTCTGGGACACTTGAACGCTTTAATCAAAGTGCCTCTGACTTTGTGTCCACATTTATTTTAAAAAATATAAAGAAGCAGTTGAATTACAACACTTCAAATGCAAAATGTACACGTACGTGTCTCAAAAATATTATTTATGAAACGTCGCTAAAATTTTCATCAAAATATTAGAAACCGCTCTGTAACGCTATGAAGAGAGGGGTAAGGCAAAACTAAACAAAGAGATACGAGTGTGCTGCAAACCACAAACTTGAAAAAGGTGGGTTAGATATTTCAAGGGGCAGAAACCGAAATGTAGTTTCTTTAAAATGATGCATAAAATTAAAGCCTATCGGGCTCACCTGCTGTATTCCACAGAGAAAAAACTACCAGAATCGTTACAAAAATGCCAAGATTCATCTTGAAAGACTTGAATAGACTTAAAGCTTTGCCAGAGAGTAACTTTCAGTCCTAGCCAGAATTTATAGCATGCACAACTTCCTTGAAGCTTCCTCGCAACTTAGTTGCAATCTGCTCTCCGCTAAATGAAGGAAGTGCATATATGGGTTTAATTTCAAAGAAACCCTCCAAAAATAGTTGTGACATCATTCTGAAAGTGCAAAGGTCCTGTTTTTACTATTCAGCTTACACACCTGCATTTCATTCTTTCCTTTCTTCAATAAAAGCATTTTTAAAATTTATCGCTGAAACGCGGTTAAGAGCATCTGACCGCGAAGTATTGTCGGTGTACTAGAAAGGGATTTTGGACTGCTCACTTAGCTTCCGCAGTCGTGCTTCGGTATGACTTCCTTTCGTTAACTTAGTTGCAATCTGCTTTCCCGTTAATAAAGGAAGTGCATATGTACCAATTCAATTCCAAAGAAACCCTCCAAACTTACTAGTTATGACGTTATCCTGAAATGGTAGGAGTCCTGCTGTTACCATTCAGCTTACACAGTTGAATTTTCTTATTTCTTCCAATCAGTTACATCTGATCGTGAATGAATGTATTGTTGGTTTTCTAGGAAGACATTCTTGACTAGTCACTCAGCTTCCGTGGTCGTGCTTTGTTTTTACTACCTTTCGTGGAAGCCAGTCTATTTTCCGCTTCCCGCTTTAATGAGCTGGGAAGCATCTGACCGTGAAGGTATCCAGCCATTGTGTGTCACGGGCTAGATGGGACTCTCTGCTTCTTTCTTAGATTTCATGTCTACAAACAAAAATAGGGTTTTCATTAACCATCAGACTTTAAACTAAAATGTTTCAGGTTTTCCAAAGGGGTAATCGGGGTAAGAGGGGGAGTCGCAGTGTGCAAATTATCGAATCAATGCAGAGCTACCAAGTTCAAACGTCAGATCATTAAAGTATTTCTGCGGAGAGAAGTTTATTTCATTCAAAATGTTTTTGAATAAAATAACCCACCATAAAAAATGCAATAATCCACCGATGGGATGGAAGGCTCTATACCTTATTGGATTCCATTATCATTATGATGACAGCGGTCTGAACCTACATAAAGTAAGCTTGTAAACATATTAGTAATCGAGAACAATGATTTCTTTTCGAAACACCAGTCGTCGCGTACTGAAAAGATAACTCTTCAGAAGACTCTCTTGTCGAGCAATCTTTCCTTTATCACGCGAATAACGCAGGAAGAGTGATAGGCAATGAAGGAGGCTGAGGTTACAATCTTACAAACTTTACAGCCATCAAATGATTTGCACTTGCACAATGAGGATGATAACATTACTAAGTCTGGTGCTAAAAATGGAATTTTATTCAATTTAATGCGACGTTCTGCATAAAAAACTTTCAGGTGGTTCTTATGACAGCGCACTTCAAGGAAAATAAAATTTTGTCGTATAAAACATCTTTGACAATCTCTTGTTTTGTCAATGAAATTCCTTCACGAGCTATGTAAGAAAATTAGGAGTTTACAATATTACAAAACGTAATTATTAATCAAAGAAAGATAACCGTCACCTTTTAAGTTGCATCTTTACAACTGATAACACTGAAATGACTGCTGATCGTTTCTAGGAATTGAAACATATATATTCTATGATTTATCTACAGACGCTTCTCAAAGATACAAATTTACATACGGTAAAAGCCTCTTTGTTTCTCGCAAACAAAAGAGCTGTGGGAGGTGACCCGAAAAGTTGTTTTTCGAAGAGGGTTTCAAAAGAACCTTTCTTCTAGGAAAGCCAAAGATTAGATATAAATATATATATATCAGAATGCATTTGAGATGAAATTAAAAACGGTTTATTTTCCAGGTTTGAAAAAAAACTCAAGAACTAAATCAAAAGTTTTTGCGAATGGAAAAGCAATACAATCCCTCGTACAGCCCAGCAAAGTCCAACGCTTGATTAGGCACAGTAAAGCGTGTTGGATTAGTCACAGGGTAGTGCACGATTTACCACAAGACGATGCTTTTTCGATCCCAGGACAGGGTTCGATTTGGAACAGTTTAGCAGGTGGACTAAGTACCATACGACACTCTGATCTGCTTAAGTGGAGGAGATTGTTTTGATAAGACATAAAATACCAGCAAAGTAGTTTGGCTCAGTAAAATGCCGTTTCAGGAAGAGTGCAGCGCTCTCAAGGATAAGAACAATACATAAATCCCTTTTGGGGAATCTTTTCTCTTTTTTTTTCTTTTTTTTTGAAAAAAAAACGTCGCTCTATATAGGAACATTTTTCCCTACTGAAACAAAACGGTATTCGAAGTCCAGGTAGGAATAATTGGCAGAATATAGCAAAGTAAGTACAGAAATTAGGGTAGCCAACCGATGAATCATAGGTGGGAAAAGGGTTAGGGTGAAGTGAAAGCAGTCAAGTTAACACTGAAAAGAGCAATAGCAACCACATTTATTAGCATAAGTTCCCAATTTCCGCCTTATTAACTTTAACTTTCTTAACAGCTTCACCACTCTTCCTCTGAGTACTTTCGCTTCTGTACGTTTATCAGTTTCGTTTCCGTTGTGAGTACATTTACATTAACAAGCCATCGGTTAAAAGGTTTTGAATTGTTTGTGCGTTACAAGAAGGGGATACCGGTATAGTTTAAACGAGGAACTCTGAAAACTACACCCTGGAGCTTGAGTCTTATGGATGCTCTAATACTGAAGCCAACGAGTCGACGGATCCTTTTCTTCACATTCTTGCTCTTGCGTCTCACAACGCAGCCCTTGCCTCCCCTAAAATCAACTTCCAGTCCCATTGTACACTTCCCATTACTGCCGAAATGCCTGTCTTTCACTTCCTTTGTTACCCAGCGAGACATTTCTTTTCCGAAAGCACCTTGAGAAGAAAGAAACATTGCACCAGTTAGATTAAACCTAATCCGAATAACCTTGCGAAAAATTAATAATGCGCCCCCACTGCGTTTATCAAACTTGATCACTTGGTGAAAAATAAACCACGAGTGTTCAGCATAATTTGCCGATTAATTCGAATCTTCAACATCCCCCCGGGCAACCCACGAGCATTTGACTGTCGTCCGTAATTTTAACATTACCTGGGTGGGGTGGGAAAATTAAATTAGTGGAATACATGAGTTTTCGTTATAAATGTGAAGGATTTTATAGGCTTAGAAGAAAATCCAAACATCGTAGAATGATACATTCAAGCAAAAAAATCAAACGGCGGCACCAAAAACTAGTTCGAACATTTGCCAAATTCTACATTATTCGTTGATCACAAAGAATCGTTTTAAAAAATTGTGCTTGGGTGGGGCATTTGAACACAACTTTTTGCCGGAATGGGGGTGGCGGGAACTTGAATGAATCAATCTTTAAAGGTTAAAATACCCGAGGGCTACTCAGGGAATTATTGAAGCTTCGTATTGATCGACGCATGACGATAGTGTTATGTTTGCGCATTGGTTGAAAGTATTATTTCAGGACATATCTTAATTACTTTAACGCAGTAACAACAGACATGCCTTTAAGAAATTGCTATACAGGCACATGGTGAAAATATCAAGATTAACCAACTGGAGGATTATTTGGAAAAACAGAAAATGCTCTAAAACTGTTTTTGCCTCATTAGCCGGCTGTGATTCATCGCTTTCAACGGACAATAGATGAATTTTTTTACTACAGATTTCCTTGCACTATAAAGATCAGTACCTGGTAAAGATGAGTTCAATTCCACTCCCGTCTTTTGAATGGCTCCCACAGAACAGTTAACAACTTTTTGATAATTGTACACCGTCTGAAGAAGCAAACAAAGCATGTTTTAAATATATTGTTCACGTCT